GTGTCTTCAACAGCTTTTCCTGTTTTTCTGCTGGCATTCAGTGGAAGCACATCCTCTTCCTCCCCCCAACCACTCCTTTTTTTTTCCCTTAACTGGTTCACTCAGTACTTTTGAAGAATTCTTATTTGAAAGGAAACCCAACACAGATAGGGAGGGACCTCTGAGGGGGGAAAGGGTAATCAATTTGGCTTGATAGACCACTGATCTGAACTAGTAAGATATTTCCTTTGATCTTACCTTTTTTTTTTTAAAGCTTAACAGAATCTACCCCTCAGTATTCAACAGAGGAGCTTAACAGAAGGACAGAAGCTGAGAAAATTTGGTTATTTTATAAGAATGATGCTTTCTGTGAGTATATCCTGTATGATTCATTGAAGTCTCAGCAATTTCAAATGTTCAAAAATTTGAGTTGCAGAGGGTCAATTTAAAACTTACTGACTGAAAGTGGGGGTGGGCTAAAATTAATGTAACAATGTTTGGGCAGAATATCACAAAATAAAAAAAACTGGTGTTTGCTGAGCCTATGCTGAGCTGAAGTTCAAAACGGCTCACTGAGGCTTTGGTTTCTTATTTTCACACCACAGCCTTTTGGGTGTCACAGTAAGAACTTAAAAACACATAGTAGGAACAAAAGAACAGTTTGAAATACAACAGGCAAACAGAGATGAAGACTGACAACTCCCTGGCCTGCCAAAGCAGAATCAGTATACTGGCATCAGATGCATGATATGAATTCCATCTTCCCATCTACTCATGGGAAGCATCATTCCTATGAAGGAATTAATTTTTCACAGCTACTCTGGTTCTATTAGCTCCTCCACTGAATATTGAGGGGAAAATTCTGTTCAGCTTCATAAAAGAAAAGAGAACTCTGAGGATGTGTAATGTCCAGAGCAGGTCTCTTGCACAAAAATGAAACCATCTAAGACCATATATAAAAGCACTTCTTTTACCAACTTTAGCAGATGTTTTAATGCTATCTCATTTTAAAACTAAGTTCTGCAGGTCAAATAGAACCAGAAACATTCAGTAAATATTTATGTTCTGTAGTTGAAAGAAATTAAAATATATTTTGGAGACAATAAAATTTTAACAATGGTGGGCGATTGCAGCATTCAGACCAAGCCTATGCAAAATATACTTTCTTGTACAAGAACTAAGATTGACTAAGAAGCTCTCAGCTTCCACTATGAGCTCCACTACTCTGGCATTTAAGTCCTAGGAGACTGGAAAACCCATCAGCAGTAAAGATTCAAATAGAATACTAAATTAATGTCAATCAGCATGGCTTTACAGAAAATATGACCTTCCTTCTTAATAAAAAACAAATAAGCTTGTCAAAATCTCAAAGGTTGTATTGATATAGTGCAATCATTATTTTCTAAGTCATGTCATATAAGCTTACACCGTGACTTGTGCTGCTCACTGTGCATTCGCAGACTACCTGAAAAGGAGGAAAGTGGACTGGTGGCAAAGTTTATGGATAGTACCAAGTATGGCTGCAGATGAACTGCCAGGGAAACTTCACACTGCTGAGTTTCATTTGCCCCTTTATTTATCAGTATAAATCTTATATGAAGTTACACTAGCTATTGCTAACCAGAGCTAACTCTTAACACTGGAGTATCTTGAGGTTATAAGATCAGTTCTATTCATGAGTCGGCTCACTGCTCAGCAGCAGTCAGAAGTCAGGAAAGGAAGGAAAAAAACCTTGTGCCACTGTGTAAATGCATAGCTCTAGCCCACTTTGAACACTACATACTTCTGTTCCCAGCATCCCAAAGAGGTAGATCTGGAAGGCATTAATATAAAATATAAAATGAAATATCTGGAATAGATTCCCTATAAGAAACCATTAGGTAAGTCTGGCCTCTGCAATCTGGAGAAATCATGAGAAGGCAAATATGCCAGACCTATAACATAACCAGATTGGACAGGATTGTCCAATATAGGAAGGTATATCAAAATGAGACCAGACAGGAATAAGAATCCAAGCAAATAAGATACAGTTGCAGGTTTCTTGCTGTGACAGGTCCATGAACCATCCTATTCCTTGCTTACTTCTACTTCCAGGGAAAAACTTTGTGGAAGATGAAAAGTGCTGTTACTAAACAGGTAGAAAACACACTTCTCCATGAGCTGGAAAGAGATATGAGCCAGGATAGTACAAGGAAGAAATCAAGAAATCTTTTACCTACTCATCTTGCACTCCTGCCCATGCATCTATTTTTTTTTTTTTTTTGGTCACTGTGCTGCGTGTCCCTTTGGCTTGAACCAATACCAATACCCACCTAACATACAGCAGCCTTAGAGAAGATGTATTCCTACAGAATACAGGAGTAGCTGATTAAAGTATGTCTAACTGGTAGATCATAGGGGTGCTTTTCAAGTCCAACAGAGATATTCTTTACCAGTTATCCAGGAGAAACATCTGAGGATTCTTGTGACAGGAATCAGCTGGAAAGAGCAATGCTTGGGATTATTGCAGCCACGTGTACCAACAAGAAACAGCAAAAGTTTGAAAAAAACCCTAAAATTATAAAAATTCTTTACCACCAAAGTAGTCAGTAAAAAATAGCTGCTCAAGCAGAAACTGCAAAGTTAAAACAGCATTTAAAACTGCAGCTATATTCCAAAGGGTATTATCTCATAGTACATATGGAATGCAGACAAGACTGTTCCCAGTTCACATTTTAAGCTGCTTCTAGATTGTATTATCAGTTGTGACCTGAAATTTCACTTGTAGCAGTCTTCCCCACTTCCTCCCCACAAACCATGCCATAACCATAGCTTACTGCTGTCACTGAGAGAAGCCTGTCTTGCATGCAAGATCTACCACCATCAAGTAAATCCTGGGATTATGGCATAAATCCTCAATTTAAGCTTTTCAACATTCAAGATACACCATCTCCTGCACAATCTTCCTGTACAATCTTCCTGTCATTTTTCACAGTCCCATATAGCTGCTTAACACATTTTAAATTGTGGCCATTATTCTCACATGCACTCCTTGTGCCTCTGACAGATCATCTTGCTGCATTTCAAGATCCATGCTTACTGAATAAACATGGATCCAGACAGGAAATTGCAAGTATCTAACTTGAGGCAAAGCTTTTTTTTAGACCCCCATAATCCCAAAGCCTTTCTCTGTTGTCTGGATGTTCTGGCCTTAAGTGCTGCCAGGGAGATTTATTAGAGAAATTGTGTGTGCCACATGTACACACTTGTCACAAACCAAGGAGCCCCTATAGTAATACCTCTGGTCCAAAGGCCAATCCATGTCTACTGGATCCCCAGACCAGAATCTCTCATATCTCTACTGCTAAGCACATCAGAAGCAGAAGCTGCTGGGAGGCAGATAAGCTTTTCCTTTTCCAAAAAATATACTAGATACAGATACTATGCAGCACTAGCTGGAATGTATAGTCCCATGGGAAATTCTGTAGGTGTGTAAATTAAGGCTCTAAAGAAGAGTGGCAGTGTGACTAACACCAGGTTAAGCTTCAAGCTTTCAGTTCAGGACCACATGTTTATATACACAGTTTATATCAGAACTTTTGTTTACCCATCCTTCTGTCGGTAACTTCTGCATACCAAAGCCTGGCCCCTAATTCTGTGGCCAATAGGCTTTCTTAAACAGACTTCATAGACTTAGATTCTCTAAATATTTTTGCTTGGTAGACTAGACCACACATCTACATGTTTTCTGATCTCTTTGAAGAACTACAAGACATTTGAAAAGCAGAACTTCCCTTTGCAGAACCAATGGTGACTCTTCCCAGATAGACACTAATCCTGCCTTATATTGTAGTTGCTGCTGTTTAGCTCAATAGGTCTGACAGCTGGTTAACAGACTTGCAGTTCCACAGATCCATCACAGAAACCTCTTCATATACTGCCACCACATTCATCACCCTTTGCTCCTCATGAACAAAGCTAGGGCACATTGATCACACCTGGCTCCTCAGGGACTACGCTAGGGAAGTGAGTAGGATATATTTTGCTAATATTAATCCAGATGTTTTATGTCTGACTTAGAAGAATTCTTAGGCAAATGTTATGGTAACTTATTAGTGCTCTAGGCTATTTATACTATAGGCCCTGTTGCAGCTACTTCAAATTGAGATCTGCCACGTGTTTCAAATTATATGTTTCATACATATTTTTTTAATCTAAGTGTACACACATGCACACACCATCTTGCAAGGAGGGAGAATTTCCATCCCCATGTTAAAAACTCACAGAGAAGGTGAGACCTCTCAGTCAGTGGCACATTTGAGAAGAGTCCAGGTACTTTCTTTCACAGCTATCCATTAGGAGAACAGCTTCCTCAATGGGAAAAATTCAGAAGCTTTGACAAGAGTGTAAAACATACAGTAAATTATAAGATAGTCCTATATAAACTAGGTTTTGCAAGTGTCATCTGTGCTTATTATAGTAACTTATGTTACATAAAAGTATTATAAAGAGAGTTCAAGCTTTCCACAAGCTAAGCAAGCCCAATTTCTAATGGTTGGTGCCATTTTTATAATGCTCTTATTCATTGTTCTCAGGAAAGGGAGCTTCAAAATTACAAATCCAAAAGGTCATTTGGCTACTTTTACACACTACTTGCAACACCTTTTGTGCATATGGAAACATATTCTAAAACCTCAGAGGAAAAGATCTATAATAAATAGCTTACAAAGTAAACTATGCCATCTGAGCAAGATACAGAAGGTAGATAGATTCCAACTTCTAACTAGTCTAATAGGCTTTAAAGCAGCACATATTTTTATTCAACTCTATTCTCAGTAATAAGATCTGTACTTTTAAGGTAAATTCATTGCATCCAGCATACCATTATGACTGTTTTCTTTCTCATTCAGCTCTGCAGAATCCTGGGCGAACAAGTCAGCAATTGAATCACAATCAGTTTTATTCTTTGTTGTTGGTTTGGTTTTTCTTTCCAGACCCAAAACAAAAGTTAAAAGTTAATGCATATAAACCAAAAAGCTGACCTTTGACTTCAGAAGAAAATTGAGCCAGATGTCGATTTACAAAAAGCCGCAGTTGATGATTCAGATCACAGTATAGAGTATTAATGTCCCAGGAACGAATTCCTGTAAAAAAACAAAATAAAACAAAGCAAAACAAAACAAAAACAAACAAACAAACAAAAAAAAAGGAAAAAAGTAAGCTGTCCTTGTCATTATGTCATTACATCTACTCCAGAAACAGAAGAAGAGAAAGAAAGGTGAGTAGGACACCCAAAGACCAGGGATGCTACACTAGATGAGCATACTTAGGATGGAGAAGGCCTTCAGAAGCAGAGGACCATAAGATACTTACCTTGTATAAGACATTTCTTCCTGAAGAAATGAAGTGTTCCATGAAGGACATGCTGTAAGCAAGTCTCCATTCAACTTGGACTTCATGCAAGGGAAATCAACAAGAGATGAGGCCAAATGAATTACACTACCCCTTAACAAACAAGTACATTATGTTAGGTTTACATCTGCACTCTCCAGCACTCGTCACCAGTAGAGATGGGCTACTGTGTGGTTATGCTACTGGAAAGCTCAGAGACATCAGTTTCTTTGCCCTTACAGCCTGTGCATGCTCCAAGCCACAAAAGCCCTCCACCCCTCCAACTCACTCTGCCTAATCACTCCTTCAAAGACACTGATCCTACTGAGACCATTTGAGTCTGTTCTTTAATCTTTATAATCTTTGTCAGCTAGTTACCTTCATATCACAGCAGGAAGGTGCTTCTGCTCCCAGAGCAAGTGGCACCAAGCCATACAGGGGAAGTCACCTTCAGACCTCAATGTGAACAGATGTACATTCTGGAGGACACCAAACACTACAGACCACCAATTTTCACATCCCAGTAGGGAGCAGCCTTTCCTAGATGGTGTGACTCTACACTGTGCCACAATGAACAAAAGCAGGATATCACTACAAATCCTTACTCCAGCATCTGGTGCTGATGCCTGCTGATGTTCAGATGTTGAAGGCCAATGCCACAGACTTCTAAGGTTAACCGAAACAAGAATTTCAGCGCCAATATTTATTGATGGAGTCCTCCCTGAGAGTTCTTTCACCATTTCTCTTGCATAAAATACATAAAAGTTGCATAAAGTACATAAAAGTTTTATTGCCTCTATTATCTACTTTCTTTCAAGGTAATGATGTTAATTTTCCATGGAGATATCATTCCCATTTACTGCAGTTATAGCTCTCCATGTTGTGCAAAGCTTTTGCTGGCCACTGGTGGGAGAGGATCCTCAAGGGCTCCAGCTTTCTACACATACCAAGACACAGTAATCATTGAATCACACAGGTCAGTAGTCTCAAGGCTGTAGAATCTACAGCAGCTAAAAAAACCTTTGTGCTTGGTTTCTTTTTCTGGTGACAGCTGACACAGTGGAGTAGCAAAGCTTATTTATGCTTATTTATTAACAGTATTCACTTCAGACTGCACAAAAACTCCTCACTAAATCATCTGATCTTCAGGGGGAAAAAAAGAAAAGAAAAAAACACAGAATACCAAACAACTTACCAGCACAGCACCTTTCAATTTGGACATGGGATACAAACAAACAAAACACATGGAACAAGGAGATGGACAAAGTGTTTTCCTATCCTACACTCCAAGAGAGCATAATTGTTTAACAAAATGTCCAGTGTAAGAGAATATCAATGCAGTAGTTATGAGCATTCTGACCTGGACAGGAACAAGGTGGCACTCTGCAGGGCAAATCTTGCTGACTAGCTGCTGTGTCATGGTCATCGTGTCCTACTGCAGCAATAAGTGCTATTTGAGGTACTGCTACATCCTCTAGGTTGCAGAAAGAATAGGTGCTCTTTCAGAGCAAGAAAGGGAAGAGTGGAATTATCTCACTTGCAACAATTTATCCATAATTTTCTTCCCTACAGGTAGTCTGAATTTACTCAATCTCTACAAATTTGCCACTATTCCAATTTATCACTTCATGGCACATAAGCCTTGCTGATTAGAATCCTCTACTATGAGAGTGCAGACTATACCACAATAACGGTAAATATTCAAGCTCTTTGCAAATGCAAAGCCTAAATAAGGGGTCATGTGACTCATCAGTTTTCCATCTCATTCTTTATGCCCTTGTGAATGCTTTATTTCCTGCTGAGGTAATTAGCTTAAAAGATTTAGCCTTTCTCCCCAACACTAGACCAAGTCTTACGGATATTGTTTCAAAATTAGACAAAAGTAACACAGTAACAGAAAAATAAAACTAGCATTTTTCAGACAGCATGTTCGAAAAAGTGTTGTTCAGACATCCCATAGATTCACAATGTCATAGCCTACAAAGCTCTACACCTGGAAATGAGCAGGTTCCTATAATGCATTGTAGCCACTATTGCATTCTCCTGGACTATGGTATAGAAAGAAGTCTGGAAAAATATACTTTTTATAGCAGTCAGGGCAGGAGATTTATCGACTGAAAAAAAAAAAAAGTCTTTGGTTGGTTTTTTTTGTGTCGTTGTTGTTGTTTTTGTTATCTGCTTTGTTTTTTGTTTGGTTCTTTTTTTGGGGGGGGGTTCTTTTGGGTTTTTGTTTTGATTTTTTTTTTTTATGCAGACAGGGTGCCACAGCCAACAGGACACAAAACAAACCCTAGCTTTTTCATCCTTTGTATAGTCACTGCTCAGCAACTTGTTCTACCTTCACATGAGCCCTCTGCAGCAGCTAACATTTAAGTAAGAATCATTTCGAAATTTCTTGAACTCCCTGAATCAAGAGTGCAGCTATCTACAACACCATAATATGCAGACTATTGACAGATCTCAAGATTGCTGTCATTTTAACTATTCTCATTTTTCATACCTTTCAATTTGCAAATATTGGTCCATTTTAAGAAGAGGTCATCCTCCCATTTCATAGTGTAGAAAACTAACTTGCTGGAGGTCCTATTCCATGTAAGAGATAAAACTGAAATCCAGATTTCCAGCTCTATGTGATTCACTTCTACTGCCAGTAACTTACTAATACTGCTGAAATGGCTCCCTCTCATGCAAATAAAAGTGTTTACATTTGGCAGAATTTCAGCAGGTTTCTAGTCACAGAAGGCCAACTATAGAACTTATTTCTACTGTGGCAGTTACAATTTATGTTGAAAACAGCATGTTTTTCCTCTGCAGTGGGAATTCTCAGGTTACTGGCATGTGACCACAGAATCAGAGCAAAATCCTTTAGTTCACAGTGTGATCTATCACCATTTCAAAGATTCAGACAATGGATAAGGATGTAGGTTGGCACACCAGTTCAGTGAAGTGCCAAGTGAAGATGATCATCCTGCTGTGCAGGAAGCAAGAGTGGCCCCTTCAAAGAAAGCCTTTCAGAGGCCAGATGGTCACAATCAGATCTACTACTCCTGAACTAAAGCCATCCCTTGAAAAAGGGAATGAAACACACCTCATTAACAAAGTGGCCTGCTAACAGAGGTAGCTGGAAAAGCTATAGTGAAGAAGTTGGACAATATTTGACATTTTTACACCCACCCTTTTCTTAAATTGCATGTTCTTCGGTAATGCTGATGCTTGGGAAGAAAACAGTCGCAGAATTATCTCTGAATAACACAGTTTGGCCAATACTTATGACTGTTATTTCAACCCAACATGCCTTGGAAGTGGGGAGCTGAGGGGAAGAGTGAAGGTGAGTCAGAAGGTTGTTACTTTATTTCACTAAGGTGTGCTAAACTGCTTATTAGAACAAGGGTTCCCTTAAGGTCCTGATGTAGCTGATCAGCTCTCCTTTGTCTTTTGGTCAGAAACTATCAGAAACTGCCACAAGGGAAGAGCTATCATCTCAGCACCTCCTTCCGCCTTACTTCTAAACAACACTGTGTCTAATATACAAAGCCTAATTCATTGCCAAGACCTCTGGATGTTATTAAAATATGGATAACAGAGAAGAAAAATGCCATGGCAGATCTATCCTGCATTGTGTCATTCCTGAAGCAGGTCACTGTGTGACTACTCCTCCCTCACTCTGGTCCATGGAGCTATAGACAGGGAGAGGCCAAACTACAGCAGACCCTTGTGCACAGCCGTCCCTGAGACCACAGTGAACAGTCTAGCAAGACAATTCCTCCATCATGACAGAATTTTGGAGTAAGTTTGAAATAAGATGCACCCTACCAAACCTCTACTAAAATAAAGACTGAGGGGAAGGAGAACCACGAAATGTCTTTAAGCTTTAAGATGTTCGAAAACTGCTTTAGCTATATCTCACTAATGGATATAAAGCAATGATCAGGGGAGATGCCGCAGAGCTCAGCCCCGCACTGCGCCGGGGATCCGAGCCCCGCCCAGCCTCACCCTCCGCCCTGGCCCCTACTGGGCCCCACGGCGTCAGCCTCGGCCTCCGCCCCGCGGTCCCGACAGCGCCCCGACCCATCCCGCAGCCACCGCCCGCAGGCCTCTGCCGCTCTCCGGGAGATGGCAGATAAAGCCCTGCGGCGAGACGGCGGTGCCGCAGGGCGGGGAGGGCACCGGCAGCTCCGCCTCATCCCAGGCGGCGGCAGGAACGACACGGCAGGCGCGCAGTTCCTGCGGCTCTCAGGGGCAGGGATCGCGTCCGCCTCAGCCCGGCCCCTCCGCCGCGGCCCCGCTGCTCACCGCGCTCCAGGGCGCCGCGCAGCGCGCCCCGCTCCGGCTCCGTCCCGATCTCCCCGATCACGGCCAGCAGCGCGTGCCGCCCACCGCCCGGCGGCGCCGCCGCGTCCATGGCGACTGGCCCCGCCGCCGTCTCCATAGCAACGCCGCGGCCGCTGCTGCAGCGCGCGATCACTGGCGCGCGGCTCTTAAAGCGCCCTGACTCCCCCTCTGATTGGCCGAGCCGGCACGTGGTCCTGCGCTGCTGCTGGAGGGGGCCTGGCCTGCCCATCCGGGGCCCCGCCCGGCTCGCGCCCCCTCCCGCCCCGCCCGCGGCCCCGCCCAGAGCCCAGCCCCCCGGGCTCCCCCGCTCCGCCCCGCGCGGCCCCGCCGCAGCCGCGCCCCCCGGCGGCGGGAGCCGGCCACTGCCTCCGTGCTGACCGGCCGCTGCCTCCGTGCTGACCGGCCGCTACCTCCGTCCGGCCGCTGCCTCCGTGCTGACCGGCCGTTACCCCCGCGCGGACCGGCCGTTACCCCCGCGCGGACCGGCCGCTGCCTCCGTGCTGACCGGCCGCTGCCTCCGTGCTGACCGGCCGCTACCTCCGTCCGGCCGCTGCCGCTCCCGGGCTGCCCGCCCAAGGCAGGTCGTGCCGGCACGGAGACTGCCGGTGAGCCCCCGCCGGCTCTAGGGTGCGACGTCTTAGTTCCTTCCGTCAAGATCGACAGAGCGGTACAGCGACCAGCTCGGATGCTCAAAACCATAAGCGGGCCTCAGACCTTTGAAAGAATAAATCAGGGGGGAAGGCGTGTTGGTTTACACTTTAGTTTAGAATTTAATTTCTTAAATACAGAAATCCACGGAGATTTTTAAATGCTTGGTGTTGAGTTGTTCCAATACCCACAATAAAGCCATAGAAGACATAAAGACTCCAAGGCTTGGTATTGTCATTCACCTTCTTTATTTCTCCACTATTGCTTGCCCATGAGCAGGTCCCTTTCCGGTGGTTCTTCCTTCTGTTCAATTAAAAGTAAGTGTAATGCTCTCCTGGGATAAATAATGGGATTTCCTGGATTCCAGACCCATGGGCTACAAGAACAATCTGAGCTGCCGGTGCAAAGCTGATGCGAGCTGTCCATGGCTGTACTGGCTGGCTATGGTGTATGCAGCAGTTCTTACTGTCTGCGGTGATGAGAGAGGCCATATCTTTGGGCACAATTTGCTCACAGTTCTGGCCAGCTACTGCTGAAAAGAAGTTCAATGCAGATGGCCTTAAGCTGAGACATAAGAGATCTCTGGATTAGATATTAGAAAAATTATTTCCACTGCCAGGCATTGGAGCCTGGGAATTGTTGCCCAGGGAAGAGGTGGAGTAACCTCCCCAGCAGTGTTCAAGAGGTGTCTGGATCTGTATCTGGATGATGTGGTTTAGGGGTTACAGTGGTAGTGCTGGGTGGATGGTTGGACTGGGTGACCTTGAAGGTCTCTTCCAACCTTGGCGATCCTATGATGCTATGTGCAAAAGCTGAGCAACCCCAAAGTATGAGACTTCTACAGGCTGAACAAGGGAGAGACACCAAAAAGTAGTTTCAGGCAGAAAAATCTGTGTCTTTTCTGACAGATAAGGAAGGACCAGCCTGTGCCGATGCAGTTGGGTAGAAAAGCAACCCAGTTATTATTAAATTACACCAGTCAGCAATAATAGGCAGCGTTTCCTAAAACAGTGTCAGGTTTTGCCCTGCAGTGCACAGGATTTCCACAGGTGAGCTATAGTTTAGAAACCTGATGGACAGATAAGTCAGCATCCTGCCCTCTTTCATTCTTTTGTACCCACCAAGACTACATTTGAAGCCTCATAAGGTTCAGAAAGTTGGTATTTTGGCAAGCATATATGAATCTATAGTGTCATAGGACTCTGACAAAAGATAGTCAGGGGAAAAAAAAAAAAACAACCAGAAAAAGGGACAAAAATATAAAATTATTATCTCTGCAGGCTACAGCTGATGTTACTAGCTTTTGGAGTTTTCTCAAATTAAAATCTTAAATCAAAAGGTGGTCTAGTTCTCCGCAGATAAATTAAGAGATAATGCAATAGGTCTTTTTCACATTAAACTATGATCACACCACAGGCTGTGAACTTTATGAACTAAACCTTGTAAAAAGGGAGAATTAGTATATCAAAAGGATTTAATTCATTTCTGTGTGTTGTAACCTGCATGGAAGCAATAATTTAATTTTAGAGGACTGCACTGAACAGGCAAATAAGTGAATAAAATAGTAAACCTGAAAATTAATGCTAATGCACATTAAATTCTATCATGAAAGTAGGATTGTAGGTCGTGGAAGGAAAAGATGACAACAACACATGAAGGTGGAAAATATTCAGATATTTTCATACCAGCTGATAGAAATACCTTCTGTTTTCTGGTGATTCAGACTTAGTACTTGCTGCTTGTTTTTGACATGGTAGCTTTCCAGAGCCGCAGCTTTTCACTGCAGTGCAGAGATGCTCTTCCAGCTGGCTTTCTGCCAAGGAGAAATGAAACAGGAGACATGCAAACTGGAGTGAAAGCTTGAAAAGAATATCCAAACACAGAGACTAGAAGCTCTGGGGAAGACTTTACAATTAAAAACTAATTCTGGTGATGTGACCATTTGCATTCTTCTACTGTACCATCAGTTAATAGAATGATGATATTTCTGTTGCTCTCTAATGTGAATCAGAGATGTCTGTGGTCATGGTAGAATTGCAGTAAAAAAGGCTTGAGTCCTAAGTCTGTGTGCACTGCATGAGACAGTGAAATTAGGTATTTCCAGTTTACTGAGTGTAAATTCACACTCCAAAACCATATAATAGACCCATACAGAAATGACGGCATAAGCTTCTGCTTTCATGCACTGCAGCAGTAGCTGGCATCCCCATGAAAATCAAAAGCTGACTGTGCTGAATGCAGATATTAGAGGTCCTGACAAACAACACAGAAGGAGAGTGGCAAAAGCAGAGTAAAGGATTACTTTACTGAAGGACGAATCACAGGTAAATCACTTTTATAAAAGGAGATTTAGAAAATAGGATCAAAATAGCATAAAAGGATTTTCACAATATTGTGAGAAGAACAATCTACACTATTTCAATTCCTCAGTACTTAACCCTGGAATGATTACTTCCTGTACTTCCCAGCTAAAAATTTCCAAGTGAATAAAAGTACTTCAGGCAATCAGAGACCTTTGACAGTACCCAAGTGAGGATAATGCCTTTAACAGTGGTGAAATATACTATCATTTTGGCTGGGACATTTCTAAGAAACAGAGAAAAATCAGGTGTCTACCTAAAGGGACTTCGTTCAAGTCTTGATCTCTCCTGTGGTAAGCACAGCCATCCCTACATGGAGCAGAAGAACCCAGCGCTGATAATGCTTTTATGTACAGATGGAGTCTTATGGTTGTTTATACGGACACTTCCAGAATGTATTGTAAGATAGAGAAACAGAGGGCTAAGCTTTTCAGTTTGGCCAAAACACATTTTTGCTTCTCTTTAATCCCATGGGTAATCAGAGTAGTACTCCTATTCCTTCCATTTTTATCTTTGAGAAAGTGTAGCAAGATACTATCTCCTGTGCAATTTGGAACAAAGCTCTGATCAAGGCTAGGCTATAAGGGCCAATGAAATTATCAGATATGGTCATTGTGTCAAGTGACTCAGAGCTTTGGAATTAAAAGACATGTTTATCAGACTTTGAAAGGTACTAATTTGTACTTTTATGGCAGTCCTTCTTTGAAGCCAAGGTGATTTTTAATCAATCAAATACTAAATACAAACTGGCGAGAATCCATACCTCTTTGTTTCATTTTCCCACATAACTAAAATAAGTCAAAATAATATAGCTGAAATGGTCAGGCAAAGTACAAGTCTAAAAAATCGAACATTACTGAAAATTTTTTGCAGACTAAACTGTGTAGGTTGCCCGCAGCCTTACTGAACAGTACAAAGAAATGATAATGCCACACTTTCCACCATAATTGTGCACGTCTTTCACAGCTTCTTCTGTTCAGTAAAGTCAAGCACTGATTTCAACATTTCTCCAGAAAAAGGTGCAGACAAACTGCACAATCCCGGCTTGTAATGAAGTAACTCAGTTGCAGTATTTCGTGGTGCATTTTGTGCGATTGAATAGGTTGCTAGCGTTCAGAGAAAGTGATACGCACGTAAATAAAGCGAACACTTGAGAAGTTAATTTTTTCTGGCAATCACAGCCCCGCCTGGCATGACCGAGTATCTGAGCCTTCTCGTTGTGGCGTTCATGCAGGCAACACTTTGTTGTAGTCAGCCTTCGGCAAATGAAGGACGCGCATGATCTGCGTTACCGGTAAGAGTCCTGCCGGAGGGGGCAAGAGCGCGCCAGGGGCGGTGCCGGGGGCAGTGCCCGGCGCCGGGCGGGGCGGTACCGGGGCGGTGCCGGGGCGGTGCCGGGGCAGTGACGGGGGCGGGGCGGTGCCGTGCAGGGCGGAACCGGGGCGGTGCCGGGGTGGGGCGGTGCCGGGACGGGGCGG